AGAATTAAGCATCTTTTTGGCGGCTCTCTCTAAAATCTATCCTGAAACGAAAGGAGACTCTAGAGGATCTCCAGTTTGTGCGGTCAGACCACTGATCAGATACCTGTAAGTAAAAAAGTCCTTGTCTGTTTTCCTGGTCAGGAACTGTTTTTCTCCTGGTCAGTGGAAGAAATCAAGACCACGAGCTTGTTGTATATATGTAAAAATTAGGTGTACTGCTCGCTAATCGCCTACACTGCACAAAAATCTGTAGAAACCATACTACTAAAACCCAACCAAATCAGTAGAATGTGTTCTTTGAAAACTGAAGAACAGAATATGTGTTCTTCAGCCTATTTTCACGCTTTTGTTCTTTAGTAGAGTTTTTGTTCTTCAAAAAATTAGTTCTTCATTTTTATAAAGAGCAAAAAACGAATTCTTGTTCTTCAGAAAACATCATTTTTGTTCCCCAGCTTTCTGAAGAGCGTAAATCATATTTTTGTTCTTCAAAGAATAAGAATCCACAGTCCATTAAAATATTCGTTTATAAAAATGCGTGTATCGGCGCAAATTGAGGAGAGACGGTGAATGCGATGAAATGGTAATAATGACTGCCTTCTACAAACATAAAGCAATAAACAAACAAACATTTTTTTGCGACCTGCATGCTCGCCCTTAGTTTTGTTGAAATCTTTTCTGTCAAATCATTGGTTTTTAGATGATTATTCTTCTTTCATGTTCGATTCTATCATAGTTTTGTCTGTTGGTTTTCATTTGTGATAAAGAGGAAATTTAGAAGTAAAAGAGGAGTTCCAGACGGTGAGGCACAATTAAGTTGTTTTAGTCTTCCAGTTTGACCTTCTGGCTTTGACGATTAGCTTTTTTAGGCTATAAGAGAGATTTCTCTTCTTTCGTGTGTGTTATCTATCTGTATCATCATTCTTAATGATATAGATAGATTAAGAATGATGATATGGATAGATTCTGCATGTTTGTTCATCTGCCACTTATGGCATTTGTGGTTTCTGCCTTTTTTGTTCTCTCCTCAATCATGTAGTTGAGTTGAGCTGCGGTTGATTAATTCATCGAAGATTAGATTTTCTAAGTGGTACTAGGTAGCTCACTCAACCCTCTCTAATCTGATGCATGCTTTTATACTAACATTTCTTTCATTCATTTACCCATTTTTCTTGTATGCTGCTCACAAAGTGAGCTATTTTTTTTACTTTTTCTGACATTATTTTCTCGTTTATGCTGTATTATGTTTAACTAAACCTGTTTTGTGTTCTTTCATGAGAAACTTTTCTTATTTTGTAAATCATCTTTCTGCTTATTAATGCAACTAACATTTCAACTTACTAATAAATTTTTATACCAACAAACTGATCAAAATCTTCTATGACGGTAGCTCTGTATATGAAAAGAAAGCCACGTTCTTAAAATAAATGCAATCATGAGGATTTGAGTTCTTCAGCCGATATCTGTGTAAAACAGTTGTAAAACAAGGCAAAAAAGAATTGTTGTTCTCTAATGAACGAAAATTATGTTCTTCAACTTTTTGGCACTTCTTAAAAAATAAGTTCTTCAGAGAACGACCTGTCCACTATAGAGATCCAAAAATCTGAAGAACAACACTTTTGTTGTTCAGAACGTGTAATCTTCACCTGTTATGTTCTTCAGAGACCACAAAACTTGTTCTTCAGTTTTTTGGAAGTGCTTGAAAAACCTGTCCTCTGAAGAACAAGTTGTCCCCTAAAGAACAACCATTTTGTTCTTCAGAAAACTGAAGATTCTTGTTCTGTAAATCTTGGGAGAACACATATATGATCTCTATAGGGGACAAATGAAAATTATTTTATTTGTTTTTGGAAGAACACAGATTTTTAACAGTGTACTACGTGACTTAGCAAAACAAAACGATGATTATGAAAAGAAAACCTAGCTCTGATCTTGAACCCGACCAGTGTCTGTTTCTCAGAAAATACCAAGACCACACAAAAAAAGTCGAGACCAGACCGAGATTTACTGTTTGTCTGGCCAGTAGATAAAACAGACTATCTTGATCTGGTCTTATCAGTTTCTTATTCTGATCTTGGAGCTGGCCAGAACAAGAAAACAAAACAGGAAACAGACACCTGTAAGTAAATAAGTCTTCAGTCTTTTTTCAAGACCAGACAAAATGGACATTAGGCTTTTGTATTCAAAGTGAAGTTCAGCTTACAGAGAGTCGATTTTTGCGGAAATATGAAAATGTTCATTGTTTTTCTAATTTAGAAGACATATTTCTTTAACTTCTATAATAGAGAAAAATCGCTGGAACTTTTTAAAAAACGAACTAAATTTCTTTTCGTTTTTTTGTACACACTCCAGAGTGAGAACAAAGTTTTTACCCATTCACCGTTTTCAATTGCAGTTCTCTTCCATACGTATGTCGCATAGAATAGAAAGAAAAAAGTAGACTTAAAATGTATCTTAATCTGAAAAATCGAAGCGATTGCAGAAATTCGTCTTTGGTTTTGGTTTTCTAACAAGTGACTATGGGTATTTGTAAACTACGCCATCACCCACCAACCGCCCCAGACATTCTAGATTAATAGAGCGCGTCAGATAACCAGGTAACAGAAAATCTTCTTAAAAATGAAAATGAGAGAGAAACGCTGAGAAAATAAATAAAATAGAAATGCTATCCAAATGCCGACTGGTCTACTAATGCAATCGCAGTGGTGCTACAGCATAGAAAAAGTTGAACTCTGCAGTAGTCGGCATAGCTTTGAATTAGTTAAATCAGTACGGTACGAACCTGACAGTGGTAAAATTTAACTAGATCAGCACTTACCCAGTGGAAATAGTGTGGATAAGCAAGAAAGGAGCATTTCTTAGTCAGCTAATCCTACTTTTCTGGTTCAACGGTAGAGGCAGTAAGGAAAGATACTGTTCTGCCTTTTATACGGAATCGGAGAATCGGAGGTTTTCCTATCTTCGCTTCCGCCGAGCCGATTCTGATAAAATTATACCAATCGATAGCATTTTCTACGCTGATCACGAATTGTACATTCACGTATGGCTGGAACGTCGCAGTAGTGCACTGGAGGAGCTGCACGTATTTTGGGGAATAATAAAAAATTTAAATTATAAATAACAAAACATTGTGCGCCTTTTTCACTTTTTAAATCATACTTTATATATGACTTTCAAAATAATTCTTGGCACACATTCCGAAAATTAACTTCGGAGAACTTTGCATTTTAATTGCTCTGAAGTACTAGTCACGTTTATCATAGCTGACGAATGTCAAGAAATAGTTACCGAAACTTCATTGATCACTTTGCAAAGGGCGTTTGATCGAGTCCTGCACATGCTATTGCTGCCAAAACTTATATGGCAGGTGTGCGTGTGTCACTCATGGACTGGTCGCATGGCACCTGTACAATATGCATCACGCTGTCGTAGTTAATAACACCAGGTGAGTGTGATAAAACCTTTAGGAGGGTCCCAGGCCGTTGACATCCAGAAATGTCTATATGCTCTTTTGAAATAATAATCCATCAGCCAATATGGGGTAGTTATATTTAAACGAAAATTTACTTTCATCAGATATGGAGATAAACTGTTCGGTGTAGAGTTATCATATAATCTCAAATGGAAAAAACACATTGCTTATGTCAGCACTCGCTGTCAAGAAATGTTGGACGCGCTACATCGCACTTCTGGAGCTGCGCCAGCTTCATTGCGACATCATATACATATCATACATTCTCCCAATTATTGATTATTGTTGTCATGTGTACGACAGCAAGCTCAAAATCCATCCAGCTCCGCTTTATTCAGTGCAGAAACTAGCTTTAAGGGTAATTCTGAATGTTTACGTCTCAGATATTGAAGATCTTGTTCAAAAGCTGAAGTTGCCCGAATTGAAAATGCGTAGGAAATATTTTCGACTGATTCACTTTCATAAAGTAATAATATAATCATAGTGCCTTGTCTCACTTTAACCTGCTGGAACCTCTAACAACGAGGATAGCTAATAGGAGAAATAACTGTTGCCGTTGATAAATGTCATCTTCAGCAAAAATAAAATAAATTGATCGTTCTTGTCATTGATTTGTTCAGGCTCGAATTTGCTTCCTTGTTCAGTTGTTTCCTCATTTGGGCTTAGCGCTTTTAAACATGAACTTAAAAGGCATCTAAAAGTATAATAAAATGAGGAGGCTATAAACTGTATTCTTTGTTGCGTTATCTGTTGTTGTGTTATCTCATTCGTGTCTTTGTTTTTGCTACTCGCCTTTTTAGTACCATACGCTAGAGGTATTACTGTTGTCAAACGTTGTGTTTTTTTGTAATAGCCTTACTTTCCAGCTAAATAAAGAATTGAATTGAATTGGTTTCGACTTCATGTTTCTCAAACATAAGTCACCATTTTCATTATATTTCACGTGTGTAGTTTTCTAAATACAAGAATAGATCGCTAATTTAATATTTAGAGAACTTTCTATTCAGATTCATAGCTTAACCACTGGTTAACGTAGTTACTTCTAGTTACTACATTCTAGTTACTTCTGTCTCTTTCTCTTTCTCTTTCTCTTTCTCTTTCTCTTTCTTTTGTCCTCGAGTCTTCTATTGAGTGTGTAGAATCAACCACATTTTACGCTGTAATCATGATAAAGTAAGAAAAACAAAAAAAGAGTAAGAGAATTAATCGTCGCAAAACATCGGAACACTCTCTCACCGACATAGAAGTCACGTTATATACATCTAGCTAGTCTACTCAGATAAAAATATTCTTCTTTATGTCTTGATGTTTTTCTTTTCTTCTTATCGTTCTCTGGTTTTTTCTCTCTTTTCCTCTCTATAAATATCTCTCGACATGCGCTAAACGTTAGTCAGTTTAGATTTGTGAATGCAGGTACAGTGATACTTCGTCCAAATCTTGTTTTTCAAAGCATTTTTTTGTCAAAAGCTTAATTAACGCGTACACTATTATCATTCGTACATATTTTAAATATACACTTAAAAAATCTGAAATGGATGTCAAACAATCAGTTCATGAACGTAATGATGCCCCTGTTGCATCAAATCAACCACCAAACAATTTGATTCGCATTAATTATCATGAAGATTGCGAAGGTTTAGTTAATCGTCAAATTAATTTGGAGTTATATGCATCATATGTTTATCTTGCATTAGCATATCATTTCGATCGATACGATGTTGCTTTAAAAAGTAAATGTTCTACCATATTGCGATATTGTAAAGATTTTATGGAGTTCTAAATGATTCTCATGTTTTTCAGATCATACAAAATATTTCAAAAAAATGACAGAAGAAGAAAATGAACATGCTCAGAAATTTATGGCATATCAAAATAAACGTGGTGGAACTATTGTTTTGCTCGATATACAAGTAAGTTGAATTTAGCATTTTCTCGACACTGTAGTTCTCTTTCGAATAGTATGCGTTATTGTTCTGGTAATGCAAATTTCTAGAAAACGCATCAAGAGAAATATAAAGGACTCTAATAAATTAATAGTAATTAGATGATTCAACCACGACTACTGAACAACTGAAAGATTTTTTAATCGAATTTTACGCTCTTAAATTGGTTTATATCGATCATAGTCACTAAATTTATCTTTACATTTTATTTTTAGAAACCAACACAACAAAGTTGGGGTTCACCATTGGAAGCACATGAAGCTGCATTACAATTGGAGAAGGATGTTTATAATGCTTTATTAGAATTGCATGCTTATGCATCAAAACATAATGATCCACATTTGTCAAACTTTTTGGAAGATGAATTTTTGGATGAACAGGTGAAATCGATTAAAGAATATGCTGAATATATAACAAATTTGAAACGTGTTGGTCCCGGTCTCGGTGAATACTATTTCGATAAAGAAGCATTTGAAGATTAAAAGATGAAACAAGCAAAACTACAAACAGATACATTTAACAATTATTCTCGTGGTAAACGGTTTTTTTTTCATCGTGTGTATTTTTAGAGTATTACGTGATGCGATGTGAGTATATATGCGTGAAAGATAAAATAAGAGCCGTCCAGTTGGACGAACCTCTATTCCTTGTTTCTCTTGTGTTTTTTTTTGTATTTGGTATTGTTTTCTTCTCTTCTTGTTCTCGTTTACGTTTCATATCTGTGAGTGTGTGCATGTGTGTATAGAGTTTTGAGATTTTTTTTTTCTAAAGAAAGAAAAACGGTTATTGTAGTAATACGTGTGGAATAGATTTTTTCAGGCAATAAATTTCACATAATCACATGCGGGATGAAGTGCGCTCTTTTTATCGAATGATAAGAATATAATTTCAATTAACAAAAGTATGAGTGTGAAAAGACTGCATCAAACACAAAAACGAAATAACGGAAGGAAATCATTTTGAGTTATGCTAACAAAATCATTCAAATCTTTAAATTAAGTAATTAAATGTTTTTATTAAGCGAAAGCAATACAGCGTAATGACCGATGAGAAGAAAAGAATTAGACATTTTGATGTTTTTTTCTGTCCGAATTTCGAAAACAAATTTGTGAATCTCCATATTCAAGCAAAAGAACATCGTCTCAAATACAAGTAAATATTGTAAATTGATGAAACGAGATTATAAAAAACCAAGTTCAATATCGACAATTATCAAACTCGAAACCTGCAAACAATGAAGGAATTACAAGGAAGTGACTTATAGTTCAATAAATGCTTTTCACATCAAAATTATCATTTTTCATTTGTAGACATATCGGAGAGTAGAATTCGTGATAGACATAAATCTTGTTCCAACATTCGTTCTCCAATAATGTTCGATATGATTGTTAGCTCGTCATTGTGTAAAATTCTCAGCTCGATTGCGAACAAACATTAACAGAATATTTACCGAAAAAGGTTCCGGATCATACTAGGCAATTATAGTGTTTCTTTATTAAAAATATGTCATCCCAAATAGCGGCCCTTCAAATCTGACTTTCGTTCGTTTAGAAAAAAATCAAATAATGAGCCTTTCTAACTACCTTTTACCTCTGAACGCTCAAAGTAACGTTGTTACAAGAGCTTACTTAAATAATATAGAATTTGATTTCAGTCAATCAATTGTTATTAAATCATACTATCTATTGACTTTATCCAACAGTTTTACGACTAAATGTAAAACCGCGAGCGTATATTGGTGAAAAAGTCCTAACTAATAGCAAAACGAACAACGTTTGTTTTCTTCGTTTTTCAGTTGATCTTTTAATTTTCATGAAATTATTAAGCATCAGTTAATTATAAATGTTTACTTGGTCAGAAAATCTGAATGCGTTTAGCCTACTTCAAACAGGGTGTTTAACTTCCAGAAAGTGGAGAATAATGAGCAGGTTTACTATCTAATAACTATCATCTATAGTGTTAATTTTCGTAAATCTCAATATAATTAACAAGTTTTTCAAGTTTGTCTCTTGAGACCATACAAATACAAACATATCAAAATTTAAAAGTAAATTTAAACTATTAAATTTAGTTTAAATTTTTAAATTTAAACTAATTATGCTTGACAAATTATGTTCAATCAAAAATTAGGTTACTTACTAGATTGTGTGTTCAATTTCCCATAATTATTTTTGCTTATCAGTTACGGTTATGGTAGTTAACTGATAAATAACCGTAATCAGCGTTTATCTAATCTTGACTGTTTAAAAATATCATTAGAATACCGACATTTGTTTTCTGAAATAAATCATTAGGTTTTTATTCAATTAGACAAAAACAAAAAGAAAAACAAGCAAAGAAACGATAAAGTTTTTCATAGTTAAATGAGTGATGACGCGTACAATAGCGTCAGAAAAATGTTTTTTTTACTACACAAACATAAACAAAAATGAACAGCATCATTATATTAAACGTTGCTGTTGTTTTTCTTAGAACAAAAGAAGACATGATACACATAATAAACACACAAGTATAGTCAATAGCGAAAAATGAGTTCGTGGTTAAATGTTTTTCCCTAAAATTAAAAAAAAAATTCCAATTAAAAAAAATTTGAGTACTATGGATTCATTTCATTAAAATGGAAGTATTATAAAACTAAGAAAATATTGTTATGATAGGTATATGTAGAGATTCAATCCTAATCCCGTGTATGTCAAATTATATACATACCCTGCACACGCTACCCCAATTTTTTTTCTTTCTTTTCAAATTCTACCACTTTGAAAATACACATATTTTTCTGCTAGATAAAAGTCTAAAAGTTTTTCCTTTTTCATCTTCAATATATCTTCAATGTCAAATGGATATATATTTCTCGGCTGCTGCTTCATATAAGTGTGTGTATGGCTATTCGAGATTATTCATCTTCACCTTCCCTTGTGCATGTGTGTGTGTGTGTTATTTCTTTTTCAACTTCTTATGCGGAAATAAGCGGTGCTTCTCTCTTCTCTAACCTAAGTTTAGGAGATCGAAGAGAGAAAACAAACAAAACAAACTAAAAATTCAGCAACAAAAGAAGAAATAAAAACAATAAAAACATACACACTATTCCAAATAACTTCAATTTTTAACCGAAATAAATTTTTCTCATGTGCATGTGTGTGTATGCATCTGTTGTTTTTGCAAAACCATAGGAGAATTTTGCCAAAAAAATTTCACTTACTTTTTAAACGAAAACTGGTTTAGTTTTTGTGAAATTACGTATACTGCATGTTTATTTATCTATATGAAATAGAACGACGACCACCGCTACCTACAACAACCAAAGAATAAAATTATTTTCATGCGTCAAAATTTTTCATTACTACCTACGCGATCGTGAGCGTGATCGACTATATCTTTCGTAAGATGGTGTTCTTCTTCGACTTCCACTGCCCCTATGAGATCCATATCCATTTCGAGATCCTCCACCGCCACTGGAACTTCCGTAATATCGAGCGCCCATATAAATGCCAGGAGTAGGCTAAAGAACAAAACGGGTATTAACGAATGAAATGATATTTTGATAATATATTACTTACAGCATGTGCTTTTTCTGTCAGTGAATAATCAACACGAATTTTTTGACCATCAATGTCTGTTCCATGAGTTTCCTTTTTGGCCTGAATAAGAACAATAGAAATGATAGTGCATGCATTATAAAACGTGTTAACATACTTCTTTAGCATCGTCAACTCTGTCAAAATATACGAAACCAAATCCACGTGATCGACCAGTCTTAAAATACAAAACACAAGGTTAGTAGCAATTAAATCTCTCAAACGCTGAGATTCAAAAACATCATTTTTGTTATTTTCTAAAGTAATTCGATATCACTTACTCGTCGATCGTAAACGATTCGTACATCTTCAATACGTCCAAATTTTTCGTACATTTTACGTAAATCTCTTTCGTCTGTGTTTAAACTAAGCCCAAATACCCCTAGTACTTTATTCGCCGGTGGATTTAGTCGTTCAATATCATCGACATAACGTTTCGGAGATGAACCACTGCGGCTTCGACTACGATAAACGCGCTTTTCCCTACCACCATAGCCACGAACATGTGATGGCGGTTGGTAGCCATGATGACTGTGATGTGAATGATGGTGGCGATTAGATGTACGATAATGTGGACGTGAATGTGGTGAACGAGTTCTAAAAGAAGAAATATCGTATTGGGAAATTATACATTAGAGCGTATCACTTACCTCGAACGACTTCGAGAAGGCGAACGACTGATTGATTTCGAATGACTACGAGTAGGAGAACGGCGAGGCTGGAAATATGGAATGTTAATAAGTGACGCAACAATTTTCTACGCACGCCAATTTACCACTTACCATTTTTTGGCTTAAAAATGAAAACCGTTTTAATAAATGAAAAAATGCTGAGATCACGTATGACTTTTCTGATTATACTATCTGAATTATTATTATATAACAACGTGCAATTTCGTCTGCTGAATAGAATAGAATAATGAGAACTAGTCAATAACCTAAACACCAATCAATTTAGTCTTTTATCACAAATAGCTAGGCAACAGACAGTCGCATGCGTTATGCACTAATACATTTTAAAACTTTACATTCGTAGAGGTGTTTTTCAGCAAAATAATTTGTCTATGAAAGACTTATAAACAAACAATGAATATACTAAAAAAAACAAAGATAAGATGGCAGAATTAAAGGATACTAGGCGTCTAATGAATTTCACTTTTTTCTCCCTGAGACGGAGAATACTATCTACAAATACTGGATAATTGTGAATTCTAGTTTTTCGCTTAAAGCGTCCATTGTGTGACATGCATAAACAAAATGTTGTGGCAACAATGCAGCCACATTTACCAATGATGTCAAATCCACGCATGTCAGTGACAACTGCAGGCGCACCGATGAATGTTGTTGCCCCACCTTCTTCGCTTCCTCGTCAATCATCACCTTACATGCGTCCACCAATGTACGAGAAAAATAAACGTAGTACATATTCGAATGACTTACGTAACAATAGCACAGGTCCAACTGGGCCATCAGGGGCGACGACGGCACAAATATTACAACAATCAGCACCGACTACATCATCAATGTATGGTGTACAACAACCTCAACTTCAGCAACCACCGTTACCCATGTCGCAAGGTCCAATTAGACAGTGAGTCTTATTCTACAGAACTTGATGAAATAAAACAAAAACTTTTACTGAAATAAAACTTGTTTTTTAAGGAAAAAACGAAAACGTTTGACTGAAAAAGTCATTCATAAACAAATACGATCATTAGTTCCTGAATCACAAGCCTATATTGAATTGTTACGTCTTGAACAAAAACTCGATACAACTTTAATGCGTAAACGTCTTGATCTACAAGAAACACTTAAACGACCACAAAAGGTAAATTTGTTTTGTCTTTATAAAACTCTCCTATACATTTGTATATGTTTTGATTGCTTTTAGACAAAAAAAAAATTACGTATATTTATTAGTCATCAGTATCCGGTGCGTTTTGATCCAGAGAGTAATCTCGACGAAGACAATATGGTTCAATACTGGGAAATGCGAGTAGAGGGCCGTTTATTAGATGATGTAAATCGCGATTTTGTTCTTTTTTATATCGTCAAGAAATGAATTAACATTCTTTATTGTTCTTTTGAAACGTATCGATTTTTTTCATTCAGGCATTGGCGTCGAAATATGATCTAGGAAAAACAAAACGAAAATTCTCTTCATTTTTTCGAAGTCTTGTGATTGAGCTTGATAAAGACTTGTATGGTCCAGATAATCATTTAGTTGAAGTATGATACTTGTTTAAATAAAATTTCGAAAAAAAACACACTTTTTGTCTAATTTTAGTGGCATCGTACTAATGCAACATCAGAAACAGATGGTTTTCAAGTTCGTCGTCCAGGCGACCAAAATGTAAAATGTACAATTTTAATGTTACTTGATCATCAGGTAAAAATAAAATTTGCTTCTTTATTTTTACATCGAAATCAGAAACAATATTATTCTTTTGTCTAGCCTCAACAGTATCGATTAGAAAATCGTTTAGCACGTTTACTTAGTTTAAGCACTGGTACAAGACAAACAATTATCCATGCCATGTGGCAATATATCAAAACACATAAACTACAAGATTCAGAAGAACGAGAGTTTATTAATTGTGATGCACATCTACAATCGGTGAGCTTTTTTTGACCTTTAAGTGTACGGCATCTAAGCGAATCCCTCATTTCTCTCATTTAGATATTTGATTGTTCAAAAATGAGATTTTCCGATCTACCAGGCAGATTGAATAAATTAATTCTACCTCCGGAACCGATTATTATAAATCATACATTGTGGTAAGATATTTTTAAACATAATTGACACAAGACGAACATTACATTAAGGAACTATAAGTCTAACATTGGTTTTGTAGTATTGATGGTACCGATCCAAAAAAACATGCTTGTTATGATATCGATGTTGAAATTGATGATCCTATTCGTGATACAATGCGAACTTTTTTATCACCACAAAATACTCATGAGCTAGAAGACCTTGATGGCAAAGTATGACAAATTTTTGACTATTATGTTTGAAAAATTATCTTTTTTTATTCATTTAGATTCTACAATATATTGATAGTATTAATCAATTGAAACAGAGTCGAGAATTTTATTTATCATTTGCTGATGATCCACAAGGTTTTATTTGTAAATGGTTAGCATCACAATCGCGAGATTTAAGAATAATGACCGATCAAAATGGTAATACAGAAGAAGAACGGCGTTCAGAATATTATTATGAACAATGGTCAGTCGAAGCTGTTAGTCGATATTTTTACAATAAAGTTCAACAAAAACGAGCTGAACTTGAACAGGCTCTGGGTATTAGAAATCAATAAATTTATAAACTTTTATCTATTTTCTTTTATGTTGTGTATGTATTTGTTGTTTTTGTTCTTTTTATTTTGTTCACATAAAATATGTGTCTTTCTCTGTTTGATATATGTATGTATATAAATAAACTTCAATCAGATTAAAAATGTGTTGTATCTTTGAATCTAAAACCGTTTGTAAAACGGCTCTTTTCTTTATTTTCTTAAATCGTAGTAGATTAAAATGTATCATGCAGGTGTAATAATTGTGCAACGTTGATAACTCTAAACTATTTCGTTTTGAATCACGAAGGAAAGAAATTAATTAGCAGTGTACACAACGTAGTTGAGTAGATCTTCATTTATGCTACAGTCAATATGGAAACAACTAACTATACGAATCTAGACGCTCTCCAACGAAAACTTTTGCCTATTAATGGTGCAGTGTGGATTTAGGATGGTTGTTAACATTATTTTGCATTCAAACGAAAAATATTCAGAAAGTATAAGGCATATACATTCAAACTACGTACAAAGCCCATGGTAACGGCATCATTTGTATTTACGAGAGACTACCTTTTTGCTCTATTGTTTTTAGATGAATTCTTTCAACAGATTTCAAATCGTTCGTCAAACGCCTTCTAGTCTGAATACCAAATCTTTTTCAGCATCTTCTCCATACTCATTTAATACACGTTTTAAATTAGTTCGCGCTCAAACACTTCCTTTAGCAACAAATATTCACCATGGTTTATCTAATTCTCAAGTTGCAACAGTATCACGTTTCAAATTCATACGTAATAATATTATAAATGCTGTAACTGGTACAAATAACAAATCAATTGAAAAAGACGAGATGAACAAAACAGAAACGATTCAAAAGACAACAAAAAATGACGATGAACAATTTCAACGTTTAAATAAATCCATTATTAAAACACCACTGTTAAACACTCTCGCAAATCTTACAGTAGAAAAAACAGATAAAGTAGTAACATCAACTCAGAGTAAGCGAGTAGATTTATAATCCAGTATATTCATGAATATTTTTTCTTTTCGATAATTAGATCTTTCGCTTGTTCGACAAACAATTCCAGCATCATCAATTGTTAAAACTATTGCTAATAAATACAAATGGTTACGCGTACGGTCATCCAAACGACGGCCAATAATAAATAATACGTAAGTTTCATCAAAATATTAGATATCTCTTATAAAGAGTGTAAGAGACTTTCGTTGAATCGATATGATTCAACATTATGGAAGGGTATACAAGAGCTTGATGAATATTTGTTTATAAAATAACCTGACATGCTATACTGATAGAGCTATAGAAAGCCGTAGATCTCCCTGTACCAGTTAGTGGCGTTTTAGGTTAGTACTTGATCGCAGAGTATTGAATGGTCGAGTATCCAAAACGAACCAGATAAAAAACATATCGTTATCGTCGCATTTGGTGAGAATTCGTGGTATTGGTTTTAACACGGCGAATAATGGAAAATCTTTACAAAGATTACGTATGTGCACAACAAAAACTGTTCTTTTTTGTCTCCTTTGTTACCTTTATATTGTTCTAGAATCAGATTCAAGTAATCGAAGTTTAATAGTGAAAAAGCCTGATAATACATTGTTAAAAGCAAGGTTTGAATGAAATTAATTATCTATCTATTTATATAAATATTTGGTTTTTGTTCTCGGTTTATTCAAGCGTTTTAGTACAACGAAGCATCCAGATTAGTAATAAAGCAGCAAAGTATAGAACCAGAAACAATAATAAAACGAATAAAAAATATTGTATTTATTTCAATCGTTTTGGTAAATGCCATCGAAATGATAAATGTACGTTTGTACATGATAAAACACGCATTGCAATATGTACACAGTAAGTATAAAATTGGATATATAGAATCTCTCTGACAAACTTAATTTTATCTCGTATGGTGTCGCTATCAAATGATCGAATTTTGATCTGACATTATGACTATAAAGTTAACAGAATGCACTCTTATTAAGACTTCTTTTAGATTTTTGAATGGTCGTTGTAAAAATACAGATTGTCTGTATTCTCATATAGCCATTCCAGGAAAAGTTCCAACGTGTACGTATTTCATCAAAGGTGCATGTGGACAAGATCATTGTCCTTACGCACATTCTTATGTTGGTAACGATGCAAAAATATGCGATGATTTTGTTCAAGGTTATTGTAAAAATGGAATAGAAGTTAGTAAAAATCTTTACTTATTTTCCCATAACTGTACATTGTATCTATTCTAAGTGTTCAAAACAACATATTCTGCTATGTCCACAGTTTGAATCAACTGGTAGTTGTTCACATGGAAATTCATGTCATTTACTTCATCGTCGTAAACAGAAAGACAAGCTTAAACGAAAAACAAAGAAGTATTTGATTCAAATTCAATAGTAAACATTTTAAGTAATAGAGATACGTCTTTTTTAAGGATCGACAATAAAAAAGCAGAAAATAATCAAAAACTATTGTCACCACAATGTGAAATATTGTCATACATACCATTGGATCAAGGTTAGTAGCTTCTAATATGGATTCTTAATTGCGCATTCCACTTTGTGTTTTAAGGTATCGTTGAATCATCACCCAAAACACCATTATCAGTTCAAACAGTACCATTAAGTGAACTCAAATTACGACCAAGTTTTCTTTGATTTACAACTAAGAACCATTTTTCGTGCAAAATATCAAATACAACACGATCCAATGTGATATATATATATGTATATATATATACATGTGTTACTATCATTTCAGCCTAGTTGGTTTATAATCTATTTTTTTTCTATACTTTTATTGATTGCTTTTCAAATGATCAGGTAAGTGGTTCTTATATTTTATAAGATTTTGAATTTCTTACTGAATACCACTATTGGATGGATACATCGAACGTATGAGCTTTTTGTTGGGCCAGATTCTTGTAGTTTTCATTGGAGAATTAATTTTTACGTATTTTTTAATCGACGTCGTTGCTACTCAAGTTTGAATGTCTACTATGGAACAATTCACACTGAGTGTGACGACGCTTAAAAATTCAAAATCATTGCCAATCTCAGCCCTCTCTCTGTTAAAAATTTATCTCAGTAACAATAAGTTCGATCTTGAGCAAACTTTCACGGAATACTGACCATGCCAAAGTATGATAATCAGAAATATTTTTTGGCTATGTTCACAAGATGATGTCACAACAAGGATTAAAATGAGACTGTTCATATTTTCTCCCCTATATATATATGATGGAGATTTCGGATTGGTTCTTAAACTGAAGCCGACAATTATGACTACAATGCAAGAAAGTCAGATTTTTTATATTTTGTTCTATTAATTTTTAGTAGCTATCGCAAGTTGTAAGTCCACAAACGCTGACTCTATTTTTTCAGAAATCCTTCGTTTTATAACTACAGCGTTATAAAAAAAAATTGGTCTCTTCTCCGTTGCAGTCGTACGTATCAGCTTCATTTTAAGATTAATCCTCGATGGTTGTTCACCTTCGATAGCTGCTCGTGGATCCAGTTGGAGCTACTAGGAAAGGCATCGAAAACTTCGATAGTTTTTGTTTGGTTTAGAGGTGTCATGTATCAATCAAAAGCCCCGCTTATGCTCTCTCTGGCCGTGAATATGCCAGCAATTTTACCGGCATATGAAAAAAAATATAGAGAAGTGATAATAAAAACAAAATTTAAGATGGATCCGGTTAGATCCCCAAACAGCTATCAAAGGTTAAATTGAGATCTCTTGTTGGAAAAACATTTCAAGAGTAGAAAGTCAAACGAAAAGTGGATCCTCTGAATTCTTCGATCGTGAGTTTATCTCAAACTTGATATTACTGACAAAATTATCATTTTTAAGAGAGAGGGGCCTTTGAAACTTCGTTCTATCCTTTTTACATATTTTTCTTCATGCCTGGAACTCAGAGAAAACTACATGAAGGACTGTTCATTATTTGTTAGCTTAACTAATTATTCTTTCTTCTCTATTTTTTCCTAATCTTGATCAAGTCGTCAACTTTTTTTATCAGACATTCGATGTTGGTCTGATTATTTTGTTCTTTATTTTCATATTTTCGACTTCTTGTTATTTTGAAGAAAGAGTTACGATTTTTGTTAGTATGCATTTACTGTTTCGGTGAAATACAATGCTATTTTGTAACTTCTTTTTTTTTGTCATTACTGTTGTTGTTACTGTTTGTATTAGATTTGTTTTTGTCTTATTTTTTAAATAAATAAACGAAGAAAGATATTTAGATTTTACCGATGTTTAACGTTACAAATAAGAGCATCGAAGATATTGTTAACAGGCAACATAAATGATTTATCATGTAAAAGTTTATAAATTGTCACATTCCATTAGAATCAGTAACTCATACTTTTTTCATTATTGAAACCCTTTTCGGAATTAATATGGCCAGTAAAAAACAATATAAAATCTTCATAATAGTTAAAGTTAAAAATGCATTGAAAAAAATTAACAATCGATTTAGTTCATTCTGGAGAAAGTTCTAGTATCAGCTAATTTGATTGAGCTAAATAATTTGAATTCAATTACTTTTTGAAATCGATTAGAATTTATTGTGTGATTAATTAAAAAGTGTCTTACAATCTCACTATATTCACTCAATTTTGTTATTCTCCTAAATTATTCAAATTTATTTCTAGATAATAACTAAAATCACATTATTTATGATTATCTATATAGAAAAGGATATACTTTTAAATGATCAATGTTATTATACTGAATTGTGTTCGACTGAAAATCAAAATGAATTCTTTGTTTCCTATTCAACATTGATCAATAAAGACAATTATTATTGTCATACTATTAATTGTTCGTGTCGTAAAAAAATTGCCATCCTTTGTAAACATGCAAATAATGATTGTAAGAAACAAAATTATTTATTCATTTATCGACAAGTTAAATCAAATCAACGTATCTATTTGACAATAGATCAACAAAATTCATCGGTAGTTTTATTAGAAGATAATGAATTAGATATAAATGCTGATATATTACGTATGTGTTATGAGAAATATTTACCCACTATATTAGCTCAGCATTCACAAAACAAATTAGTCGAATCTTCACGTTATTCTGAACCATCGTTCAATATTAAAGATACGCAAGAGGTTATTCAATTTATGTTATTTTTTTTCACAAAACATCTCATCATTTTCTCGCTTTTTAGACATTGTTTGACAAATATTCAAAAAAATTAATTAATTTTCTGTTAAGACAAAGTTTATTTACAAAAGCATTAGTCGCCATGTATGACACAATTCAACAAGCTCGAAATGATCAGTTCTGTTTAAGGTAAAATAGTCTCATGTTTATTCTTTTTTTTGTTTTAAATTCATTGTTGGTCTTATTGTTTAGACGACGTACAAAAGTCGGTTATTTATTAATGAATATATTTGTTGGTCTTCTATGCTCCGTTTTTCTACTTCGAACCAATAGTACTCAAAATCTCTCGCATGATATGCTGTATTATTCTCAAGTATGTTATCAAGGATTTATTTTACTTTTTACAACGATTTATGTTTTAAGGGACCCCCTCCCCTCAAAGAAAATTTTTTGTATCAAAAAAGCAATTTGCAGACTGCAGACAAGTGCATGGAAAGATAGCCTAGAGTGTCTACTTTCAGAATCTGTATCGCCTTAGGACCTAAAATTGGTTTTCGAGCAAGTTTTCTAGAAGTCTTGAAAACCTGGGTCTTTAAATGATAAATTTTTTTTCTGGACACGTAGATTTGTAGAACAGACTTTTCTGATCAAAATAAGACGTTGTACAATTCTGTGTGATTTTGCATTCAAAAATTACAAGCATTTTTCTACATGTCCTAAAATAGACCAACAACTGCACAGCGTTTTCCCTCAAAACACGTTGTTTGTTCGAACATGCCCAGTGTGAGGTGCTTTTTTTAAATATACTTCAAGCTAGAGATCTCGGGTTGGTTTTATTTTAAACTAGCATCTAACTGCGTGGGCTGATGGGAGCCGATTTTTGACTTAGGCCTTAGTTTTCTTGAAAATCAAGGATCTCTGAAAAACGAACGAAGACCTAAATAAAAAATCGGCTTCCATCAGCCCACGCACTTAGGTGCCTAGTTTAAAACAAAACCAACCCGAGATCTCTATCTTAAAGTATATTTAATAAAAGGACCCACAGTGGAGGATGGGTTTTTGACATTGGACTCTGGAAAAGTTCGGAACGATAAGAGAGAGCGAGGGGGAAAAATTTTCATCACCACACTTTGATATGGCAAACATTTGCTGAAAGTGGCATCAAAATCGGATGTAAGACAAAAACGTTTTTTTTTGAGGGGGGGGGGCCCTTAAAACAGCTTTAAAATAACAAATTCAACAGTTACTACTGATTTTTCTATTTTGTCATTCTTAGTAGGAATTAACAACACGACTTAAAACTATTTTACATTGGTTAATGCATGCACCAGCTGGTCTAAAATTGAATCAACCACTCGTTGATTTTTTGGTACGATTTTATTTTTATCATATTTATTTGTGGTCACGTGAGTAACATCTATTCATAAAGAGTTCTAGAAAATAGATAATAATTATGTTATTTTTTTTTTTAGATTATTTAGAGGCCCTCGTTTTAGTTTTGCCATATTTATTGAATATATTTATATTTGTGTGTATGTTCGGTGTCACATTGGCAATTGGAATTATTTGTGATTTTATTCGTTTGTCAACAATTCACTTGTACTGTTTTTATATTTATTCTGCAAGGTAAAATAATGTTATTCTATATTAATAAAATTAATTTATACTTCTTCTAGACTTTTCAATTGGCAAATTCGTTTATTAATTATTTTATTTCGATTACTATGTGGTAAAAAGATAAATCCATTGAGAAATAATCGTTTAGATTCTCATTTATGTGATATTGATCAATTATTTATTGTCACATTGACTTTTACAATCTTACTCTTTTTATTACCTAGTGTATTTATGTATTTTATTGTATTTACATCGGTATGTATATTAAAAAAATAAATAAATAAAATTAAAAACAGTATATTTCTTCAAGGTATGGTCAATAACTGTTTTCATAATTAAACTGACTCAATGGATTGATCAATTATTATTAAATATTCCGGTCTATGAAATATATCTTTATTTGACTGAATCTCAGATAATACGAGGTATGATAAATAAATTTTTAATGTAATTAAAAAGATTTACTTAAACTATTTTGTATAGAATTTTATGATTAGTCTTAATTAAACGTCTCTCATTCTATTTAGGAAAACCACGATTATTCATCAACTATGGTTTAACCAGTGAACAAAGTGTTTGCTTCGACTTAAAATTTGAATCAGTTTCATTCAATCGATTATTTCAGTGTTGTTCTTCTCTACGCTATACACAGTCAAATAGTTTAAAAACATTTACGAAAGAAATTGGTCATTTAATACTAAATATTTTGAGAGGTGATCCAGTGTTTTGATACAACACGTAGAATATAAAGTTAAAAATTTTCTAAACGGTAGTTTGTGTTTGATTAATATGATGGAAAAACTTTGCTATTCATTTTTTCTATTTTTGCTATATCAACAAGTCATTTTGTTGCTTTATGTTTTGTTAGAGTTTTCTTGAGATCAGAAAAATGTTATAGGCTGAAGATATACCGTTTTAATAATAGAAAAAAATAACTAAAAAAACACACGTATCTAAACAATATTTATTCGAAATGATAAAAGTAATAGAATTGAGAGCAAGGAGTTCTTTTAGTCAATATGTCAAACAAAGATGGTTACTGACTAAATAAGCAAACAGCGCTATTCTTCTTCGTTCCTTATGACGGTGATATGACTGAAGACTATCTTTCAATTGTTGATGAAATAAATTTTGGCAAAAAACTCAGTTATAGGGTGATATTTGGCGAGAGACTTACGATATTTTTCTCCGTATGCTATGCGAGGGCATTTTTTTTCCTTCACTTTCAATAAGTACAAAATTCATAGTCTTTTTCTTTTTTACAATTCTCGATAAAATATAACTGCACTCGTTCGTATAATTTGATCGTCATATTCAATTTGAACAATTGCTGAATGAATATCAAATTTATAAAATTTTTTTGAATACTGCATAATATTACCAAATTGTTTGATTGTTATATGTGCATTTTATCTGTTTCAATCTAAGATGAAAATTTGGTGAATATTGTATTGATATATGAACTCGTTTAAATAGTGATTTCTTTAATAATAAAAGGTTTAAAACAATGATGAGCAAAAATAAAAGTCGAAGGTTAGCATCCTAAAATTAATAAACTCAAAACCCCTATGTGATCACATTTTTTTAACAATGTTTACAGTGTCTCCGAAATAGCACGCTAAAATCGACTTTCTTTTACTTTTAAAAATAAAAGTCATAAATAAAACGAATGATACGAGAATATCAACAGCAAAAGAAAATGTAAAAAAGCATATTTTACACTCTTTGATACGTGATCATAACTCTAAATCATTGTCATTTGTATAATATTATGATTAATGATGGTTCTGTGTTTATTTGAAACAAGTGAAACATTTTACATCATAGTTGGAATGATAATTTCGTAACAACAAGTCGATGTTTAATAATGTTCTCTTTTTTATTTATTTCATCTATTTACGATTATATTTGAGAAATGTGTCGTCAAATGTATTGTAAACAGTCACTCTTTTATTAAATAATTTTGATACAATAAATTATTATTTATTTTTAATAATATTTCATTACTTCAATCTAAATTTAAATTCATAATGTATTATGATTAAAATTTCGTCTTATTTGTTGATTGAATGTGTTGACGATTTTTCTCTGATATGTTCATGGTAATGTTACTATACATTGTACACGAATAGTACTATTCATAATACTAATAGATAAACTTAATAAAATGAATTCTTAAAATTTTAAATTCTATTTTAGATCAATATCAAAAACATTGAATAGATTCTAAATCAAATTTTGATACATATAGTAGGAGAATTATCATATACGTCATCGAGATTTCTACAAATTTTTTGTTAATCATATGAGAATAATGTACATTTGTTGTATTAGAATCTGTTTAGTGTAATAATGGTAGTCATTAACTCGGAAAGAACAAGTAGAACAATCTTTTTATCAATGTCTGTTTCATATAAAGAAATAGAATTAATAATATAACAGCGATTTTCAAACAACAAATCTTTCATAAATTGTCATAAATTAACGTTAAAGTATTAGGAAGAAAAAAAATACCTAATCTAAAGATACACGTACATCAAAAAACGTCACTAACTAGTAATTATCGCTAGTTTAGACTCACAAAAATAGAATGATCAAATTAGATGTTCATCCACTAGATAGATGTCAAATATTTTAGATTACCAATAGAGACATTCCTTCAGTAAACTTGCTGGAAGCTAAAACAGGTAAATATACAAAAAAACTCAAATGAATCCTAATTTTAGATTATTATTTCTTTGAATTATGTTGTATCCAGTAAATAATAGAAAACGTCATAACAATGATATGATTAGACTGTTCAATCGTTATGATATTGGTCGTCAATTGGGTAAAGGAACATATGGTATTGTAAGAAAAGCGTACGATTGTGTTGAACAACATTCTGTAGCAATTAAATGTATTAGTTTGAATAATGAAGGTATACCAAGTACAGCATTGCGTGAAATAAGTCTATTACGTGAATTAAAACACGTAAATCTTATTGAATTATATAATATTGAAATTAAAAAAGAAACACAACAATTATACATGATTTATGAATATATGGAAATGGTACAATATGCGGTTTAAATTTTCTTTAATATAATTTTGATATTATTTTATTTTAGGATTTATATGAATACATGAAAAAGTATTGTCAACAATTACCAGAAAATGTATCAAAAAGTTATCTAAAACAATTGTTAAATGGTATTAATTATTGTCATAATAATAGAATATTACATCGAGATTTAAAACCACAAAATATTTTAATTAATTGGAATGGATATTTAAAATTGGCTGATTTTGGTTTAGGAAGACAATTTCAATTGCCAATGAGAATGTATACACATGAAGTAATCTAAACACTATTTACAAAAATTTATTAAAATTAATATCATTTAATTTTGTTTTTTCAATTATAGGTAATTACACTTTGGTATCGACCGCCAGAAATTCTATTAAATGCACAAAAATATTCAACAAGTGTTGATTTATGGTCAATTGGATGTATTTATGTTGAAATAACACATAATCGACCTCTATTTCCTGGTGATTGTGAAATTGATCAATTATTTCGAATATTTCGTACACTTGGTATAGAAAAATAAACATTTTTTCAACTGTTATTGATATCAGTTTTTTACATCTATTTTACTCATATTTTTAGTTTTGATAAAATAATCGGTAAAGACATAAAGTTTTGTCTCTTGTTCTAGGAACACCTGATGATAATATATGGCCAGATTTTTCTAAATTACCTGATCATAAAAATGTCTTTCCAAGATGGACACCACAAAATATGAAATGTATATTGACAGAAATGGATGATGATGCACACGATTTAATAATGCAAATGTTAATCTATGATCCAGAAAAACGTATACCAGCACATAAGGCTTTAGAACATATTTATTTACAAAATACACAATTAGTTGTACCTCCAAAACTAGAAGAGTATGAGATAATTGATAATGATACAAAAACAGAATCTATAGACGATTTTTTTTGAGTAACAAAGTTAAGAAAGATAGCTAATGTCAAATATTTTTCAAGTTTTCTATTTTTAAAAATAAAGTCAGATTTATATTTGTTATCTTCTATAAATTGTTGTACAAATAGATTTTATTTTCTATTCGAATTTCTCTCGTTTTTTATCAAATATTTTATTTTCTGTTTAATATAGAATATTAAGACTTATCTCATATTCTCTGTTGCAACAGGAAAACTTATTTACTTGTTCTATATTCGACTATTTTCTTGTTTTTTAATGTAACATCAAACTTAATGTGTTTCATCGTGTTTAAGCATTATTATTAAGCATATTATTAAGCCATTAAAAAGGAATAAACATATCTTTCAACTACACAGTATTATAGTGCTCCTATCAAAATAGATAAGCTTTTTGAAATGTAGAAAAAAAAAATGACAATAGATTATTTTACAAAATAGTTTACAAAAAAAAACAAAAATTTTGGAATGTTTTTATTGAAGAAAAAACAGGAAATAGTAGCAGGAAGATTGCTAGTATTTTCTACCACAAAAAACAACAACAGCATGACATAAAATCCTGTACGATATGAAAATAATAGAATATGGCAATATTTATTGATTTCGACTCACAAATAAAACGGCTTACTAAAGTTTTTTTCTGCAAAGAATTACTAATATTTTGAATAAAAGTACATACAGACAAAAAATTTATTTTCTTCACATCGTACTACATTGAACATTCTCACAGAAAAAGTATACTTCATATGTTTTTTTTAAAAAAGATTTTGAATAAAAAAGAAAATGACATAATAATGAATAGGCTAAAGTAGAAAAAACACTAATATATAGCACAGAATGAAAAAATTTATATCTACAAAATTCATTCTCGTTAAAGAAGAAAAAAAGAAAGAGAAAGATTAAAGTATCATTCTCATATAGAAAAAGTAATTTTGAATAGTTATAAAGCTATGTGCAAAAATAAAAGATGTTATAAAAATCTTGTTGAAATAAATAATATAAATTCTAATCACAAAATCATTAAGTACTGGAACCTAGAATATATAAAAGCATACAATTATGATCTCCGTTTTATTCACTCATTTTTCTCTTATATATTTATCGAAGGCTAAGTTCATAACTCAATCTCATATAAAGACAACAATTATGAAAGAATCAGTTACTTAATATTGTTTAAATTACATTTCTTTTTCTTACTCGATAGATGTTCATCATCATCATCATTATCATCATCATCTTCTCCTTCAACGTCACGGTTGATATCATTTTGAATATGTGATAAAGATTCGTCATGTAATTTTTGTTTACTGTTCAAATCCGTTTTCATACAGTTAACAAATACATAATCATTTCCATTTGAATTTAAATCTGTTGTTTCATTTCCATTATTTGTTTTAAATTTTTCTTCATTACCTACATATTGAAATTGTTGTTGTAATGGTTTAACATTTGCCTGTTGACGAAAGACAGCAGTTTCAAGTTGTTCAACATCATTATTGTTCTCGTCTGCATCATCATCTTCTTCATTGGAACCAATTAATATTAACGGTTTACTTTTTGATTTATCAAGTTCAATTTGATATTCGCCATCATTTTTATCCAATTCTTCATCATTCAATGACTGTTGTTGTTGAGTGGTCGACGATAACTGTAAAGAAAAGTGAAAAATAAAAAATTGTATATTAAAATCAAGATAAACAACATACTAAATGAATATAATCATCGTGTCGTTCGTGATATTTATTTGTTTCTATAAGTTTTGAATTTTCATATGATTTATATAAGACCAATTCATTAAATAGTAATTCTGAGATATCTCGAATCAAATCGACAGCACATTCACGAATACTAAATCAGAAATAAAAATGAATATAACTGTTAACGATTACTACTATAAACGAAATATCTCAACATCTAATTTAGACAACTAATAACAGAGTTTCATCCAGATAATAGAGATACGATATGTGTTACTATCTGGACGTCTTAGAATTGTCTAAATTCAAAAGAATTCGGTAGATCTTCTGAGATCAATACTTCAGAGACCGATTTTGTAAAGATTTAAGGTCTACAATTGAATATCAGATTCGTGTGATCAGCGTCTAAAACTACCGGAAAAAAAAATTGTTTTTCATCGGAATAGTGTGGGTAAACAGTTGGGAACATTTTCTTGTTAGAACTTCTTACGTTTTTCCACAATATTTGGCTATTGTTGTTGTTAAAACGGAAGAAAATTGATTTTGATAATTTCGAACAAATTGAGACGAATCTGGTTGCTGCTTCGACAAAAATAATATTCTGTCTTTAATATCATTTAAAATAAGCAAATTAAATATTTCATTAATATGTAGTCTCATATAAGGTATCAAATGGACCATTATACTTTTAATTTGTAAATCTAACGTTTGAATATCAACGTTATTCAAATCCTTAAAAATAATGAAGAATAAGAATAGTCTTCTATTAATACAAATAGATAAATAGATACTTACAGATGGTTTTGTTTCAACATTAAATATAGACGATGATATGTTTTTACGGGTTAAATTTGAATATAGCATCGATGTTGGAGAAAATGGTGTATGTAAATTCTCGTTATATTGTCGATATTGATCAATTATGTCATCATCACTATTTTGATCAATGTATGAACGAGTTTGTAAATGTGATGATAAAAAGCTATTGAATGATAGTCTAGGCTTTTGTTCGTCAAATTGATCAAATGATAATGGACTTCTATTTTCATCAGTTGACATTTTTTTTTGATGACCATAATCAATTTTATTATCTGTCGTTGATGATAATGGACGTTGATGAATTTCAAATGGCTTATTTTGATTTGTTTGTATATTATCTTTAGAAGAGCGACGATGTACATGACGATTCATAGTATCGTAATCAGATTGGTAATTCGTTAATTTTGGTGAAATAAATTGTTCTGTTGTATACATTGCTAAATAGAAAAGATAAAATAATGTACAACTGTAATATTAAGAAAATATTAATTCTTACTATTTCGTTCATGTTTTGTGGGTGTTTGATTTCTATTTAATAAATGTTCATTATTTTTATTTTGTACGTAGATTGTTGTCTGTTTTCCAGTACTTTGACTATTACACGGTGTGTTACTTGAATTTTCAATATTAATACCATTTGATAGTTGTTCATCATAATCCGTTTTGTATCGATTATAACGTATACTTGTAGGTTCATTATTTATGATTTTAATTTGTCCAACACTGTAGATTGAATCTTTTGAATCATCTCTTTGAAACATACTTTGTGGTTGTTGTGCTTGGTCTTGTTGATTCGATGATGATAAACGTGAATTTTTTGATTGTAATGAATTGATTTCTGATTGTAATACAGCTATTTCACGATACGCTGAATTTAAATTAACAATGAGACCTTGTGTTTGCACTTGCTGTTGCAATTGTTGAAAAACAGGATCAACTGATGTGGATGTTCCTGATTGATAATGATAAATAGATTAGAAATAAAAACCTTTTTTTTTATCATGATTTCATCTTACCTGGTGGTGTAAGAGATGTTCCGATCATTCGAATATTTTGCTCAATCGTATTATTAAATGTTTTTTGTTCACGTATAAAATTCATTAGACAATGACATATTTCTTTCATTTGTTGACTAAGATCATTTGTTATTGAATTATTACTAATATTTGATGTTTGATCAAAATGTTCAGTTTCAGCCACAATATCTTCTGGTGCATGAAAATTTCCTTGTTTAATACGATAACTTTGCTTATCTAAAATCAACATACATTTGTTTTTAAATGTATTTAATTAAATCAGAGATCAGTAAATAATCTTTACCAGTCTTTTCTTGTTTATGCTCCTCTGTAGTAGTAGTTGACGTATTTTCTTCGCTCGATAACCATCTATAGTCAAAAATAATATTTTAATATGTTCTATGTTCATGATGTCCAAATACGGTGAAACTTACTCGGGTGATAGTTGTCCTTCATGTTTAATATTTCTCTTCTTATCATTTTTTATCCGTCTTCTTATAGTCAATGGTTGTGTTGTTTCTATCACATCATTACGGTTAATTTCATTACGCATATTTCTACTCTTTGAGAGCATTTCTTCTCGCATATCCAGTTGGTGATGCATTTGTGATCGTAATGTATCGCTGAATTTATCTATTAGAAACAACAAAAAAAAGAATAGATTAATTTATTTCGTTATTTAGTAGACCGAGTATACCTTTTTTTGTCGATGAATTTGATGGAGAATGAATATCAACCTTTTTTGTAGATGTTTGCGTATTATTATCCTGATTATTCATACTATTATGTAATGATGCTATTTGATCTTTAATCGTATGTAAACGTTGACGTGATTCAACCAATCTTTCGATTTCACGATGTTGTGCAGCCATTTTTGTATCTGTATAACTGGTTACAGACGATCGAGTTTGTTCCGGTTTTGGTGACAAAACATATGATAATAACGATGTTTTTGTTTGATCTTTCGGTGAAATGTAGGAAAATTGATCATTACATAATTCGAAATCATCATTATTTGTTGTTGGCTGTTTAACAGGTGTTGAACGATAAGATAACGATTCATCTGGTTGAATTGTTTTAACCAATTGTTGCAATTCTGTCAAAGCTGTTTTTGCTTTCATTAATTCCCTAAAATGTTCACTTTGTTGAACAGAATGAATAAACATGATCAAAAATACATACATGCGTTTAATATTCAGTTCATCTGATAATTGATCTAAATTTTGTGCTTCCTGATTTTTGTTTGGTTTTGTCATTAACATGTTTAATTTTAGTGCTTCCGATGATGGAATGGATTGTTCTTCATAAAACATTTCTTTTTCCACTTCATTATCACTATCATCATCATAATCACCATCATCATCAATCATCTCATTTGCTTCTAAATGATAATAATTAATAATTTGTTCCAATTCATCTAAACGTTCTTTGACATGATATAATTCTTTTAAACGATTCGTTTTCTTCGATAATGACAACGTCTCTGATTTTATTTTTAACTTTGATTTGGTTTCATTTGCACTATTTATTCGGCGAGAACGAGCAGTTTCTATCCATGCATCTTTAGTATCTTGAAAATTATGATCACTTCCAACACTTTGCTCACTTACATAAGAATTAGTACGTGATGAGAATTGATGTTTCGGTTGTTGTTGACTGAAACCAATGAATAAAAATTGGAGTCTGCTGTAGTAGCAGTTAGTCTCCTTATTTTAGAATTTCATTCTCTTACCTAGACATTATGTGTTTATTTTCTTCTTTTTCTTGTTTTGCCAATATGTCTAATTCCGCTCGGTGTTTTCGATCGTACAATCCTCGTAACAATTTTAAACGATTTCTTAATGTTGTTATATCATATAATAAATCTTTTTCCGAAATGTTTTTAGATTGTTTTTGTTGTCGTGTATTCTCGATGATATGATCATCACCATCGTCTTTTATTGGTTCAAATCCGGATATATTTGATAATGAACGTTCAAATGTATAAGTAGTATTTTGAGCGTCTACATTCTTCGATGATGATGTTGGTTTCTTCAATTTTTTTGAGTTTTTAAGAAGTTCTCGCTGTTCTTGCAAACGTTGTTCAGAACGTTTTTGTAAAGCAAGCAAAGCTCTTTCACGTCCCTGAAGTGCTCGATACTAAAGATAAATAATACAAAACAAAAAAAATCATCACAAGTAAGAAGTTCTTACCTGTTCTTTTTGTAACATTAAATTTCTCACCACTTCTTTTTCATCAATTTTATCATTACCATCAACACTTTCATTCTCATCAGATGTTGATTGTTCTCGCCAAGTGAGCGTATCCGATTTTAAACTGCCTATTAATGAGTCATAATTTGAATTACTATTACGAACTTCATTATCAGAATAACCATTTGTTCGATCTTCTCCATTAGACATTATTGGAATAAAACCAATTTTACTTTCAATTCTTGGACGAGACAATAGAAAACTATCACCACCATTTTCATTCTCGAAAATTTCTTCCTAAAATATTTTAAAAACGATAAACAATATGTAAATGACTAAAATTAAAAGTATGACAAAATACATTAAAGCAAAACAACATGCTGTGTAATCAAGTGAATGTGATGACTAAATACATTTCAAAACTAAGCCTTAAAACAATATTTTCTTGAATAACATAGATGCTAATTATTGCATGACAACAATATTATATGTACAACGATTATGTGTACTGAATTAAAAAACAGGACTTACAACAGCATAACTATTCTTTTTTATGATATTTTTGTTTGTTTTTTTAATAAACTAAATTTATAACATTTGGATTTTATCATGTCTCTCAATTTTCGTTTTAATCTTCTATTACTTACATTAGAATTGCAAATAATCGTATTATTATTTGAATTTTGCAACAACATTTGTCGTGGATTCATATTATTATGAAAATCTTCATTTTGTTCAGATGTTAGATAGTGGGAAGATGATGATGGCTAAAAGAAGAAAATACGATATAATCGATAGCTAATTGTTATCAAAGTAACTGTGGACGAACTAGTGTACTACTGTTAAATAAAAGCAGAAGCGTGTTAAACAAATGTATATGTTAAAGTCACTGTGGTGCTCGTATAATACAAGAAATAATGGCACACATATAAGCAGAAGACAAAAAATATGAGAATTTACACGTATAAAATCCAATAATTGTATGTAGCCACTTTGTTGTTCTTGCAAATTAGATATGATTGAACGTAATTTTTCACATTGTGGTTCGCTATCTGGCTATAAAAGGCAAAAGGTCGTCTAAAATCAGTCATGTGACAAACCTCTCTTTTTATAATTCGATAGGAAACATTTTTTAATATTCTTGCTATTTTCAATATACTCAGTTCTCACAAGATACTTTTAACTTAGGCCTACAACGATTGATTACTGAAGAATAATATAATAATATAGTTTTTCTTTTGGCTCATATTTTTAACGTGAACTCTTGCAAGAAATTTTTCGCTCTAAATTTATAAGAATTAATTTATATAAGAAAAAGTTTCTTACGATGAGATCTTTCATCTTTTCCATTGGTTCTAACATTGATTTTGCTTGCTCCAGTGAATTTTGAATTTGTTGAATACGACTAACAATTTTTGCTTCTGATACTTGCTGAAAAATAACAGATAAGGCAACGTACAATACTACTGACATAGTTTTTTGTTTTCTACATACATCAGTTTGATTACTATCAATATTGTTGTTGGACAGTTCTTCAGCTGTCAAAGCATCATTTGACTCTATAATGCGTTGTCGAGGTATTGAATCAATATTTTCGTCATCATCGTCTCCTTCATGACCATGATCACTATCATTCGTATCATTATTCAAGAAAGATGATTCATAAACCGAATCGAAGGATGATGTCTAAACAACACAATATCAAAATAAGTAAATACTAAATTAAACATTGTAAATGTCCCATCTATACCTGCTCATTATTCCATTTGTCGAGAGGAAGATTTCGAATTTTTCGTTTTAATGGCATAGTTGTAGAAGAAACAAATCAAATATCTAAATGATTAAACAAAAAAAAAAGTAAAAAGTTAGAAAGCGGTCGAAAAATCAGAAATGATAAGTCTTTTCATATCATTTATCTCACATAACAACGTCTACTTTTAGCTAATGCTGGCCATGAGGTATTCGGCACATAGAATTAATCCAGTAGACTTGATTACCTATCAGCAAATAAGATGGATTATGAGGAACATTGCACAACCAATCAACCATAGTTCTCCTAAGAACTATTTATGATTAACAATCAGCAAACGAAAAATAAATACAAAAAAAATAACATTTTCTATCAATAATAAACAGTGATACAAAGTTTAGTAAAAAAAAAGTTTTTAAAGTACGGTAATTATAATACTGCTCGCCATTTGTGTATTACACACTATGGTTTTCAGACTAGAAAAATGTAGTTACAAGATAATAACGAAGGTTTAATATAACAACATATCTTCTATCTTAAATAGTACAAAATAAATAAATTCAAAAACTTAAACTATTGGTTTTTTTCTCCTAACTCTCTTTGCTTCTTCAACGAGATTTTCGTGCTCTGTTTGTTTTGATGATGATTTCTCTTTCTCTTCTTTATATTTTAAACCTAAAATATATGTTTCAGATGATTCATTCCTAGTTGCACTTGGTCGAATCAAATGTACATTGTTAAATATCTCATTCATTTGTGTTCGTAATTCTTGAAGATAATCTCCATTAAACATTTTACATAAAAAATAACCGTCTTGTTTTAATAATTTTCTGGCAAATAATAGTGCTTGATTTTGTAATTCAGCTATTTTTGGATGATCAATTGAGCTATGACCCGTGATATTTGGACACATATCAGAAACAATTCCATTCACTTTATCAATGTTTAATTTCGTTAATAGAATATTTAATCGTTGTTCACATTCACGAAATGTATCCTCCTTTAATTCCCAATCGTCTATAATATGTACACCGGCTATTTCAAACATGGGTTCTCGATCCAAAGCAATCACAGTTCCAAATTTTAAATTTTGATCGGATATATATGACGATGATACTAAACTTGGATTTAATTCGTAGTGAGTTTGTACTAGATCTTCAGTAGCAAATATTTTTTCATATGCTGGTTTTACCACAACGTTACCAGAAGATAATGACTTTTTGTGAATTTTTACATTTACTTGTTTAGCCAACACTTGAGACCACGCACCTGGAGATGCACCCATATCAATAACACAATGACCTGGTTTTATAAAACTAAAGGATTAAAACAATTTTTCAAATACAAACATTGGACTAGCGTTCTTACTTGTATAATTTATTAATTTCAATTAATTTAAATGCACTTCGAGCACGATAATTTTCTTTGTAAGAACGACGTACGTAGGGGTCAGTTGCATGTTTATACATCCAATCTTTTGTACATCGAACTGATGTCGTTGAAAATGATCGATAAACAAAATAAACAATTCCATCCAAAAACGATACGGAAAGTTTATTACATACAACTGTTAACATCTTGCGTGTGACAAAAAACCCAACAACAATAATTACAGCATGTAAATAACGAACACAGCTAGTTATAGAAAAATATGTTCCAGTTAGTAAAGTGTGAACACACTGCAGTCTACGAAAGCAATAATGGACCAGATGCTAAGATAAGTCTTTGAAAAAAATGTGATGATCACGTATATCCACGTGAAACTGCATTCAAGTCCTATCTAATGCAAAACAAAACATGCTTACATCAAGAGCAGAGTACAAACACAACTAAAATTAAAAGAACTGTCCCGCTTAGTGTTCTTAATATCATTTTGACGCCGAATATACTCATGCATTTTGCTGTTTCTCTACAAGATCACGAAATTTTCAAAAAATACCTCATTCAAAGTCCTATTTCAAAAAAGACCAGTTGTATACATATGTTGACACGTCAATCCTGCTTTTGAAAAACAATTTTCTTTTCGAGTTATGGAAAAAGAGCTGGCTATCCTTAAGTTTTGTAGGCTAGCAAAACAAAAGTCTCTATCATAAAACAATCTAAATTTAAATTCCATAGTATATTCAAAGTAGCCGTATACTTTGTCATTAGAAACACTGGTTGCATTTCATTCCCTAGTGAGCGTACCTGTTCCAAATACTCGACTATTTGAGTAAGTACTTAGAACAACTGGCAATTATTTTCAAAAAGAATCACTTTGCCATGAAGTTTTACAAGTACTTCTTCAACGTTGCAATACTCGGTTTTATTGCTACATAGTACTTTATGAAGTACTTGTCAAATAAAACATCATGCACTTGTTAGTATCGGCTTCATTACGTAAGAGAAGTACCTGAGCACAGGTATAGTCACTAGGGTCTATACTAAAAGACACAGCTTGGGCTTTGCTACGCTGAAGGAATAAAGCTTGATAGAAGCACGGCTCAAAACTCCCTTATTTCCATCGAAACATGTGCAGGGTAAAAAAAAGGAATTTGCTCGTCCATAGATTACCGAGAAGGAATTCCTACCATAAACTGTTTCATTCCAATAGTAACAGTACTCTCTCGCGAGTAGGCAAACAAAAAATAAGGGATGTAGTGAGAGTGATGACGCTAGAGTAAAACTGCATATTTTTTTAATTTTTCCATTAATTTGACTCTTTGAACAATGTGAATATTACTTCGTTTAAAAGTAAGATATTTTTTTAATATTCAAGAGTCGTTTCACTATATGCTAATGGAATCGCTTGTAATTAGATCTTGTGAACGCAAATTTTAAGATTTAAAATTTAATGATTCGGTCAAGGTCTTTCAATATCCTGGAAGAAAACTTTTCAAGATATTGAATGAAGATTCTTTTACATGTTTCTTTCGTCTATGACAGCTATAGCTATTCTATTAGCCCATTACATCGAAAACGGTACAATTAATTGTCTATTAAATGTCAGTTAATAGCTAATGAAATAGTCATTAAATGGTCATTTTTACACCTTATAAATGGGAATGTTTTAATGCCTTAAAATGACATTTTTTAACAGGCTGAAAACTGTCCGAAAATAGGCAGTTAATAGCATCATATAATGGTCGTTTTTGCATCATTACTGGCTATTAAGGGTCAATTATCGAACATTTTCTTTGATTAATTTTTTTGATTAGTACCCCAAATATATTGATTTCCAAAATTTTTCGTTCCTTAGATCTACGGGTGCCATCAATGGTACCAGACCCAGAACCAGCGGCGACTTCCACAAGACTAGTTTAGATGACTCGTACAATCGGGGAAGAGAAAAATTTGCAAATTTCTACCAAATTTCAGTGATACATATATATATTATATATCAGTCATGATTACAAAATAAAAAGGGTGAATGAAACAACTATTTTAAATGTCAGTTTTTTCGCTGTATATTTTGCAACTGAAGAATGGCCTGTTAATAGCCATGTATCTGTGCAAGTTATATCACATTTAAGGATGCACAGTTAAATGCCTGTTTTGCCATTATAACAGCCAAAAAATTTACAGTAAACAGTGACTGTTCGCCTTTTTTTCAACATTTTGTAGTATGTAAAATGCCTTTTTTCGAGCCTTTATCAACAATCACATAACAGACAATAAACTGACTGTTACCTGACAGTTTTTTAATAGTTATTTGGGTGTTAAAAGTCAGTTTTTTTGGCATACATATAAAGCTCATTACATAGCCTATTAAATGTCAGTTATGTTTCACCTGGGAGGTATATACCGTTGAATTATATATGATCGTATCATCTTTGAATATAGGCTATGTCCAAGAACAGAAAATTTTCGAAATTACTATAAATTCAAAAATTTTCTCACTTATATGTAAACAAAGCGGTGATTCAAGAATTATAAAGTTATTGGTTGCAAGTTTCGCTTGAAAGATTAATCTTGTAAAAAAAAATGACGGATTATTCAGCCAAAAGATGTTAAGAAGCTTTCATTTTCCCAAATAAACTGGAAAAGACATGTGTAGTTTTTTACGCTAGGTTTAAAAGCTAGCCTTAAGATAAAGTAAACGAAAGCTTATATTGCTACTAGCAACTTACGTCCACTTTTACACTTAATGTATCCTAACTATATAAGCGATTACCGACGACACTTGTTTCAGTTTTCTGTAAACTTTTGTATTTAAAGAAAAACGTAATTATATACATTTGAATAAAAAATTTTCTAGCACAAATATTTTGAAATTTAGAAAAAAATGTACAGTACGCAATAGAATGTACAGTCTACGTTTTCAACATGACAATTCTTTCATGGGACGACAAAGCATCGAAAAATTATGTTAATCAAAACATGGACAAGAGAAAAATATCTAGAAGAAATTTTTGTTTGCTTTGTATTTTTCGTTATGCTTTAGAATGATCTGTAATAACAAGAACAGGTCACCTTTTATGTCCAAAAAAAATAAACTCCAAAAATTTCATCCTAGTATTGCTTTGTCATAAACGCACAGATTCGACTTCTCTCGCCGCTACATAATGTTTTCTAGCATTTTCATCCTTCATTAATTCGGTTACATGTCGAAGAACTTGTTTGCTAACCGGTAAATTTTTCGAGGATTTTGGTAATTTCATAAGACTATTTGTGTCTCCGGTACTTTTTAATGGTTTCTTGCATCTAATCGTGTTTGGCTTTTCTTCTAGTGTAGAAGGTTGATTGCGCAGTTTTATGCTCCCTTTATTACTATTTGTTGTTTCACGATTTGGTTTAATACAGGATATTTGTGAATTCAAATTTTTATCAAGATTCATTAAATAGTAACTTGCAAGATGAGCATCGTAAGATCGATGTTTCTGCGTTAATGTAGGATAAGCTGATAGACAACGTTCAACGCCTGCAGATTGTCTGCGATGGATTGTCGCACGAACATCGTTCGAAATTCGTGGTAAAATATGTTCTACTTTTTCCACTATTGGATTTTCTATTTGAGATTGTTGCTGTTGAGAAGAAATATGAGTTTTTTTACTAATAGATGAGTCGAGTTGACGAGGAGTAATTTTATCTTTGGCTATTTTTGTTGGCTCACTTTCAGAATCTAAGCAAGCAGTTGTTGACCATTGCGTCAAACTTGATGTATCACTTTCTGACTCTGATATGCTCGCAGTGTATATGGTCGATGTGGATGAGAAACTATCATTTTTCTCTAATTCTTCAACTCGTGAGTCAACTTTGGATTCTGGTACGGTCGGAGCTACGGGAAGTGTAACGCTGCTTTCTTTCGCACTTAAATCTATAGAAGGCTTAAATAAATGACTTAATCGTGTTTCATGTTTTTTCTTTTCATTATTATTGGTCGTTTTTATGTCATGAACGTATATATCTGGTACAGCTGAAATAGTCTTTCGTAATCGATTTTTTTTCGTTTCTGTCTTAAAAACGTCTTTTGATTGGGGAAGCTGGCGTCGGTTTGTGGATGTTGATGATTTCTTCGCTATTGATTCACGTGGCTTCTTTAACGTTTCTACTGTCTTTTTGTTTTGATTATGCTCTGTAGGAGATCTTCTATGGGTCTTATGTAACGTTTTTATGGTGGCATGTTTGCTCTTCGTCCCCGTTTCCATCGATCGTTGTTGAGTACGAGATGAAGAACGTTTTGGTGTACAGATGTTTGATACATGACTTTCACAGTCGAGTTCAGTATCATCATGTTTTGTCGCATCAACAATCACTGCCGCTGGTTTGGACGATTTCGATTGACATCGAAACAACTGTCGAAAGAGGCCATTTGATTCTGTCGATGGTACTTTCGATTTTCTAAATGTAAAAAAATATTCATCACCATTATCAACGTAGGTTATACTTTACTTTTTTGATATATTATCAATTAAAACTGGTTGTTCATTTCTGAACTCGATTGGTAAAGCTTGTTTCACTCTTATACTCTCAACACGACGTACAAATAATTTATTTATTTCAATTTGACTTTTCCCACTCTTATCATAATAATTTTCAATTGATAGTGATTTTCGTTTTTTTGGAATACATTTTGATAATAAATTATACCGTAGACACCCTATCAATGACATACTTATTCTATCGACTAGAACATCGATAGGATACTAGAAGATGTTGTTAGTTCAACGTTCAAAACAAATAAAAATTAAGTGATGACAAACAAAAACAAGTATTTGGCCCAAAAAAAATATTTTTCGTGACTTATGTAACCGATTTGCGATGCAAACAAAAAAAAAGAAGATTACGAATACAGAAAGAGAGAATTTTCGTTAAAACATTTTTTATCTATGTACGTTCATCCAATTAACATTTTCATCAAACTATCACATTCTCTCAACTGCTTTTTTCTTGTTTAACACGTATAATTAGTGACACTTTTTGTCTTTAAAAATGAACGTTGACCTTAGCATTTTCATCGTATTAATTTAAATGTAGGAGAAACACTAGATTTTACGAAATATTCTAAACTTTGTCTGTTATTTGAGTCTTTCTTAGAGGATTATACAGATACCGCTTACTTTCTTGAATTGATCGTTCAAAGGCTTTGCAATTTACA